GAAGTCACTTCGTTGCTCGTGGGCACTTCAAGGGAGTGAATTCTTGCCCACTTGACGACTAAAAAAGCAACAATCCCTAATCACTGACCACCCTGCTGAGCTGATGTTTATTCACCATCCACAGTCCCTGATGTGTTACATTATTTTTTCCATGTAATTATCTTTTGCTGCATTACTCATATTCATCATTTCACTCCAGCTGCCAGTTATTCTCACATACAAGCTCCAGCTTGATGCTGTGCCCTGTGCTTGCCTTTACTACCTCAGAACAGACATTATGATGAGTGAGGCAGAGCAAAAGAAGAACAATTATCATTTTCTCTCAGATTACATTCAGCAGATGTCAGGGCCCACATGTGGAGGCGGCTAATTGCTGTCTCCAAATCAACTGTGGCATAATACTACAAGCATCTGTGAGAGTGAGTGTGTGTGTATGTGTGTGTGTGTGTGTGTGTGTGTGTGTGTGTTGTGCTGGGGAAGGTGTAGGGGACAAGGGGTGTGTTATAAGTTGTTGTGTTGATCCATCAGGCACGCTCTCAGCCCTGTGTGTGTGTATAAAAATCCAGGCTAATGCATGTACCATGTTGGCGTACTAATGATCAAACTGGCTTACCCGCCATCAGCTGTTCACACCCACACAAGCAGAAAGAATCCTTTAGTATGAAGACACGGAGCAGCGCTGGTACACGCTAACTACCTACTCCCATGCAGCACATAAGGCAATCATGCTTTCGTGGCATGGTATCCATATTCTAGGCATAGTCACGCATGCATGCAAACGCACACGCTCGTGCTAACCCCCCACACACCGGTGCTTCCAGCGAGCTTCCAGCGTGCTTCCACACTGCCTAAGAATAATAAAGATTGAAGGATAGAAAGCATCCCTCCACTCCAGCTTTCACTGGTTCCCTTTCCACTCCACACCCCCTTCTCCTGCATCTCTCCATGTAGCCTTGAGTGGGGCTGCATCTGAAGGGAGAAGGCAGACAAGGTCCCTGGGGTGATGGAGGGTGGGAGGGGGAGAGGGGAGAAGGGGGAGATGCACGGCTGTCACACTGAGCTCCAGTGTCGGCTGATGGCTCGGCGTGAGGCATGCCACTTATCAGATTGGTGGGGAGGGTGGGAGTAGGGGGGTAGGGGTAAGTGTGTGTGTGGGTGGGTGAGGAAGCACCAGGGAGAAAGGGTGAGGGTGATGCCAGAGGCCATTAACACAGTCTTTTCATCTACACATATACATGCAAACAGTCATTACACATGCACGTCCATGCAAATTCACATGCACCTTGAAACCACACACACACACACACACACACACACACACACACACACACACACACACACACACACACACACACACACACACAAAATGTACAAAATCGCCAGAGATCCTCAACCCTCCCTCCAGGCAGACAGTAGCACGATGCCGTGACTGCCGCTGTGAAAAGCTCCCTTCTTTTCTCATTCCCCCCTCTCCCTTTCCTTTTCATCCTCCTTTCCCACTCTCCCATGGTGCCCCAGTTCACTCCAGTGCACACGCTCCCTCTCTCCTTCCACCCCCCCCGCACCTCTGAAGCCCCCATTCCCTGTCCCAACCCAGTCTTCCATTTTTGCAGCCTTCACTTGCTCGTCTCTTTCATGCTACTGTACTTTTCCTACAGTGTGATGCATTTTTCCTCGCTCTTGTTAAAAACACATTTATACACACACACACACACACACAAAATTGTTTAGAAATATGAATGCACACATGCACCTAACAACAATATACAGATGGATGTGCATATATATGTCTTAACAAATGCATATGCTGACACACTGCAAAAATCTGAGTCTTATTAACCCATTAAAATATGAATTTTTACTTTGTTACAACAATTGAACACTCTCTCCTATAATAAATGACTCAGGATGGGTATTTTCTTGCGTGCGCATACATAAAATACGGTCAACACATCAAGAGATGGAGATGGGGATAGAGGTCAGTCAGTTACAGAGCAGATAAACAACACCTCATTAGGCATGTTGAACTGCGTCTTGCAGGCCAGGGCCCAGACATCATTGTCTGCAAGCATGCTAACAGAGCCCTGGGCAAAGCTTCCAACATCTAAACAAACCTGATAGGATCAGAAAGTAATGATCACATGTTATCCACTAGAAATGACATGAATAATCACATACAATGGTTTGGGGGATAATGCGCCGACCTGCACTCCCATATATCCCACTGGATGCAGACATGGACACAGTGATACATGCATGCAACAGACATCCTTGAAATAACAATGATGTGAAGATGCCTAGGGCTGGTTTTTCATCCTATGCATGCATGCACATTGCTATTCATTCTTTAGATTATAAGCTATTCATTACTGGATGGTACAGGACTCTATACCAGGCAGTCTGCCATCCTATAGGCAGTACAGTAAGACGCCAGAGAGGCAGGGGAGCCGCGGCCCTGCACTGCAGTTTCTTTGCTTTGGGCTTTAGGCAGTCAATTTTCTTTCCATCACACGCTCACACACTTTCAGTCATTCTTGCACTCACAGTATTTATCTCACAGTCTCTCTCACTATCCTCCCTCTCTCTCCCTGTATTAGGCCATCCTCCTTTCCCCTGGCTCTGATGTTAATGCACTCCCAATCAGGCTGTCCATTAAGCAGACGTGCACTACACGTTCATCAGGCCGTCCAAAGGCCTGCATGCAAATGAGCTCAAATTGCAGTGCGCTGCAAACTCCTTGAAATCTCCTTAGAGGGAGAACGTGAGTGTAAGACATGCATGTGTGAGAAATGCAGGAAAAAGTGAGTGCCTGCACGTCCGTTTTATGCTAATGTGAATAACAGAGGCAAACATTACAAAGGATTAACCCGATCAGGATGGCTTTTTGATGTTTTGATGCAATGGTGAGACACACATGAAACTTGCTCAAGTAAATTCTATCTGTGATTTGTAAGCCTGAGAGTGCTGAGTTACTGTCAGCCAAACCCTTTGTCATGCACAGGAAAACTTTTATATTCTGAAATCGCTGTCAAAACTTTGCTAGAATCGCTAAAAGTGAGACACACAACAGATCTTTTGCTTTGTTTCCCTCTCCTCCCTTTTGACTGCTAGGCATTTCACATCACTCCATTTTGTTCTTTCCAAAAAAAGTTTGTTATTGTATCCAGTGGGACGCATTCATTCTCACCTCAGTTCCTTGCCATCTCTAACTTTATAAACCTGTTAGGTGGATTGTGAGAGAACAGGGAGAGGATAGAAAGGGACAGTGTTGACTTGTGGGTGTGAGACCTGTCACAGTTTTAAGTAGACAATTGTTTGAGGTGTCAGGGAGTAGGGAGTAGCAAAAAAAAGAAAGACACAGCTTGAGAGTCAGAGAGAGGTCCAGGAGGCTGCCTCTTTGCATTCAGGAGGCACAGGGCCTGGTGTTAAATGCGTGGTGGAGGGGGGGAGTGTCAGTGAGGCCCACCGCGTGCCAACTCTTAAGTGGCAGTGGCACTCAAAGATAATGAAGAACGATGATGAGGCCGAGGAGGGCATGCCGAGGGCCCACGTGCACAGCTAAAAATCACCCAGCAGTCACCTATTGGGCTGAGCACACAGCCACTCAAAAAAGGTTTGCCAATGGCGCTGATTGCATGTCATAGGGTGTCAAACCTGTGGCTCAAATTTCCACTTTCATTTACTAATCCAGCACACTTCTCTGTGTGTACTCCCGTGAACATGTGTGTGTACTCCACATATGTGCTCATGCCTGTTGTGTGACAGAATGTGAGCCAGTGCGAGTCATTATGCATTTACACCACAGGATGCAAAGACAGTTGAGAAAAAAAGAAAAAATCACACAAGAGTGAAAATAATGGGAGATAAGCGAGCTCCCTGCATTCCTCAATTGTGACCTCGAAACACACTTGTCGTCTTTATTGTTCATTACCGAGCCGTGTGCCGCGATACGCTAACTAATCCCATTAAACTAATCCACATGAAAACAACTTACGGCACGATAACGGCCTGCACCGCCTCCACCGTTAATTTATGCCATATTCAAATGTGCATGGAATTGAAATAATTAATGTGACTCCCCCACTAATTTTCCTTGTGGCAGAGATACTGAATGGATACCCGCAGGATGTTTATTTTCATCCACAGTTTCTTTGCACATTTCTCCTCCTATTGTCTCCTATGTACACTGTTTGTGGTCCATAGTCACCATACTCAGGCTAAAATACTTCTGTTTTTGCCCAATAGTCCTCAGAGGCAGTGGGATTATTTTCCAGGCTGTAAGACAAATCTAACAACTATAAAATGTGCTAGCAGAGGTGTCTGGTTTCGAATTTGCCTCCAACTTCCTGGGGTATATGAGGTGATAACACAACCTTGAAGACCTACAGCAGGAGAGAGTATTGCTAAATTAAATCACTGACACACCTTTTGCTTGTGAACATTTTTAAAATGAATGAATATCTAAAGGATGTTGATAGCAGAATCATGCCACCTTTTATGGTCTCCCAAGGTAGTCTGCCTCTAAACTCTGAAACAACCACTGAGAATTCCAGCCACGGGCAGCAATTCCAACCTGCAGTCGATTTTATCATCTCCAAAGGTCTTTCATCCCCAGAACAAAATCACGGCTCCCACATTAGCACCCGTATGGGCCCCGAACATTGTCTGCTGGTTAACAAATGCGGAGCTTGTTTGGATAGGGGGAGCGTGCACATGAGATTATGAATAAAACATGTTGCCCTTATTAAAAATAATCTGGCTCAAAAGTGCCAGAGGCCCTTGAGGTCGATAAACCCCCCCTCCATCCACTCCCTCCACCTCATAGGGTTCAAGGAGAGGGGTCCCTGATTAGCACTGGCAACATCCAGAGAATGCATTTGAATTCTGTATGATTCAGTGGTGAGTGTGTTGAGTGGAATTAAATAAAGCAGATAGTGATTGGTGCTTGGGGCAACACAGGGTTGTTTAGGATTTGGAGCTGAGCTCTGTCTCATTCCTACCTGAACATATCGCCCAGGCCCTTCAGCACGCCTTTCTTGGCTTTGTTCTTGTCCTTGTCTTTCTCCCTCTCTTTATCCCTGTCAGGTTTCTTCTTTTCCTTTCCCCCAACCTTGTCCCGATCTTTCTGTCTGTCATCTTTGGAGATGGAGCCGTTCAGCCCAGGGCCCACAATGAGGTCGCCACTGGTGGACATTGACTCCCGACCAGATCTGGAACTTCCCTCTGTGTCCTCGTCCACTGGTGTGAAGAGATAAAGGGGAAAGAGAGGGTGTTAAATAGAGATATTGAGAAGGAAAAAGAAGAGCACACTTGCGCAAACACAGGGAAAGAAGGAAAAATAAAATGTAAGCCAATAAAAGGCAGACTAAAACTTTAACTTCCACTTGACTCCCTGCAGATCAAGGAAGCCGCAATTGAAATCAGCACATGACAACAACACTTTTTTTTATCAGTTACAAAGCCTCACTTCTTTCTTTTAGTAACATCAGCTGAACCATTAAAAGAAAGGCTGTGTCCCACAAGGTATGGCAACTTTGAACAAAACACACTGAATTCATCTGCCTCATTAGAGCAGAATATATTTACATTGTACACCCTTTGAGAATAGTATTCTGTTGAACACATTTTCACTTAGCTGAAAGCCTGAAGTTATTTCAAATGTGTACATTTCACACAGCTCAAGAGAACCGTCTTTTTTTTTCTTGTTCTTTTCTACTTCTTTTCATGTAAAAACGATGTGACCAAAGGTGGAAGCTGTAATGATAGTCATATGAATCTGGTTCTTAATTTATGTCTGAACTCATTTCAACTCAGACATCAAATTGAAACCAAACTCCTTAGGTGATGTAGGGTTGATTAAACTCAAAGTTTCCATCACATCTAATCAGAACTGATGTGCAAAATGTAATTAATCTGTCAGTAATTATACATTTAAATAATCTTGAAAAAGGCTCCCAGGGATCTTAATTGCAAATGTGCTACTCTTCGCAATCGGCATCGCTCCTGTCTATGCTGTATCTCTGGCTCTGAGGCGTGAGGTAGATGTCCTTCAGATTACAACTTATTACAGTCTTGCGTGTTGTCGTCTAAGTTCTGCCTTTGATGGAGGAGAGAAAAGCGCTTATCGTGAGGAGAGAAGAGGGAGGGGAGACCATGATGGATTCATGGCATAAGGGATGAGACAGACAACGCAAGGGTGGGGCGGCTGGATTCACATTTCAAGGAACAGTGGGGTTTGTTTTCTCTTGTGATCTGTGGAGCTATCAGCTATTTCTTTCAGCTGCCATCTCAGAGGAAATTACTGAAATGGAATCTCTACATGAGGCACTGTATGGCAGGAATAGAGAGCGAACCGGCAGCTTAAACCTGCTCAATTACGCAATTCATTGCTGCACGCAGCCCCCTCCCTTCCTTTTCTCCACCTCTACAAATTTGGGAGCAGGTTCTGGATGGGTATCAGTTTTATCACTCAATCTGCTACCTGCTTATCATCCACTTAAGAGCAACCGCAGCAAATAGCAGCTGTGAGCTGTATCTGGCTATTCAAATGACTGAGATTAGCAAGAGTGCTAATGTCGCTACTGCTTAATGATGCCAAGCTGCAGATAACATAGTAAACATTGTAATCCAGAGCCTCCCAGAGGGCAGCGGCCATGTGTGCTTGTATGTGTGCTCGCATGGAAGCATGTACATGTGTAGGCCTTCGTCCGAGGCCAGGTTCTTGCATATTTTCCTTGAGTAAAAAGGAAGGCCGAACACAAGGAGTCATTTTTTGTAATTCAATGCCATTTTTGTCATCCACTTAATTTGAGTCTTTTAAATAAAGCGAAACAGAAAAACAAGCTATCTCCTATCAGAAAAAACAGACAAAAGCCTATAACACCAGACATCAAAAGGTGAGGCCATCCATGGCAATTTAATGGAACCGAAAAGAAAAAGACTTGACTGACAATCTCCAATGACAGCAGAAGCATTGACGAAAGTGTCAGGAGACTCAAAGATAATTTGCAGAGACAACCACAGGAAACATTTTGTCACTTTAGTGAAACTCTAACATTAAACTTTCCTGCTTTAATAATCAAGGACATTTAAACTGGCCTGTCAGTGAAGGTTATGACAGACAAGTAAAATTGCCAGTCTTACTCCAACACATAAAAGAAGGGGTTTTTGCACAGCAGAGCATATTTTTCTTTTTCTCTTTTATTTCCTCAAACGATTTAACACAAAGTAGCACAAGGGGAAGTGCATTTTGCCCAGCAGGATATCTTGTGGGGACACATTTTCTTTGGGTGATGCCACATTCTTATTTTATGTAAATAAAAGTCTGGGAGCAGAGGAAGGCAGCGGCTTATCTGTCAACTTTGACTATTAACCTCAGTGACGAGCACAGACTGGCTGCTTTTATCTAAATTGAAAAACAGAGTTATTTGAATATCATGGGGGAGAATGCAATATACCGCGGCAGGGGAAATCGCTTGCTTTCCCCATTTTTCTTTGCCGAGATAAGACTGTATTTAGTGGCTTGCCGACAGAGCTTATGAGAACAAAGCGTTTCAGGCAAATAATTCCCTCTTTTTCAAATGTCTCCCAGGTCTTTAATGGTGAATGGAAATTTATATCTGGTGATTACTCTTGTGGTGTTGCAGGGTTATTACCTGTCGAAAAACGTAAGACGGTTGTCTCTCTATATCCAATGCATGTCTCTTTGTCATCAAACTCCAAGCATGGATGGATATATTCACTCAAAGGGAAGGTGGTATGTCTTTCCTTTCTATGGTTGTCTTCATAGTTTTTGAAGAATAAAAGTCAAGTAATTGTGGTTTCACTGCCAGTCAGGTACGCAGTAAGACAAATGTGCGGAAAACTGGCAAAGTTATATGTTGTTATGTGCCAAAGCTGGCACAGAGTAGTATTTCATTCATAATCATAGTAAATGCATTACAAATACATATGACGAGTAAAATGTAATACAATAGGACCCTGACGTATGTGGGTAAACAGTAGAAATCTTCCTCGCATGCACTCTGTTGAAAAACATGGTAATGCACTTTAAGAGTTTGTAAGCTCCTGGGAAACATGTTGCCACAGTCTCTAACAATTCCACTCAACATGAACTGTGTGAATATTAATGAATGTGTAACCTAGACGCTTATTGCAGATGTGCTTTGTATCAAGTGGGGGATCCCTAACCTAGTTTACTTGGGGGTGAATCCTGCCATTCTGAAAATGCTCTGGGGTACTGAGTTGGCCTATATTACACTGACTGGATTCTCTGTAATAAACTTCTAATGTCTTCTATGGTACCTTATATAATGGCATACTTTTGGGCACATGATTCTGTATTAATACTCTGAATAAACAGTCTTGAAAAACAAAAACTCAGTATCTGAACACTTACAAGTCTCCATGCTGTTCTCTTCTTCTGCCGCTGTGACACCAGGTTTCTCGTACGATTTGTCAATTGCAGCTCGGAAGCTCTCATTGCAGCCGCGGCCCCTGACGATCCGTGAGCGTGGCCTGTTAACGTTGATCTCACCATTTATTGTTGCCTCGGCAACAGCCGTCTGGAGGCTTTCAAGGGAGCTGGACTTTTTCAGGCCCAGGGAGGGTCCGACCTCTTGTTCTGCAGAACCTATGGAAAGAGGAAATAGTGTCACTGAGGCCAACGGACTAATGGCGTGTGACTCTAACTCCCCCACAAAGGCCAACCCAAACTTATCATCACAGAGCTCATTGCGTGTGAATGAATCATTCACGTTTTGCTAGTTTCATATGGGATGATGTTATGCGCCGTGCTTGGCAGGCAAAGAGAAGGTGTGAGTCTGGCAATTAACGTGAAAAACAAATGATGCCATTGCCTGGCCAATGAAGTGTGTGAAATGAGAACAGAGTATTATATCTTCACTGAGACATTTTCCTTTTGGGAATTATAATTCAACCTTTGTCCTTGTGTCTGCAGAGTTAAATTATGTGGCTGAAACATAATGCATATAAATGGGTCACTATCAAATACAACAGTGTACCACAGTACCAGCATGATTATGGTGTTATACTCAAATATAATACATTTCCCAAATGTTTAGATTAGACTGCAAACGTAAAACTATTTCCATAGGTGGTCCTCGCTCCGCTTTCTCTTTTACCCGGCTCCTCTTAAACAGGCTGGTTAAAACAGAGAGGAGGGAGAAAAATGGAAGGCATATAGACATAACAAATTCCATTGATTTCCAACACCATTCTCTTGTATCCACAAGCCCATCTTCCACAAACAACACCTCACAGCTGTAATCTTTTGCTGTATTTCTAAGGCCTTCACATGTTAGATAGCAAGTAATAGCGCATCATCAAGGCAGAACCATTGAAAAACAAACTTACTCTGTTATCAGTGTTATGTTAATTAGCCCAGTGGGCAAAAAAACACAAAAACATTTGTCGACAGGCCACTTGCAGAACAGAAGTAGTACATGGAACCTTTCCAAAGCACATTGCAGTATGAACATGGCAATATGGTTTATAGACATAAATGCCTCTATGACACAATACTAGTGCCACCCACATTATTTACTTCACTGATAAATGCTGCACAAAGCAACCATTATGCAAAGTAAATGTAATTAACATGTAAATTGTCGCCATGATACAAATGAAGGGCTGTTATGACTTGAAACCTTTTTGCCAAGTAGCTTATTAGAGTATCATATATATCATACTTGTTAGACAAAGTATCTCCTTAAAAGGATATACATAGCACTGCTAGAGAGTCTAGTTGACTAGCTGTGTTGAAGTGAATTTTGAACAGTCAACCTCTTCAACACTGGAACCAGGGCCCGGACAGCTGTAATTCTTTTTTCAATGCTTGCCAGGGGTTTGTTTAGGGTATGTAAGTGGAGCGTGACTCAGGTATTGGTATTTCATTTTGTCAGGGAGCGTCCGTCTGTTCCCCGGAGCTCTTACCTTACCAGCCAGTTGGTAAACAAGCAGCCTGGTTGATTTTCTGTCCCCTTTATTCTGCCTCGATTCAGCGTGCAGCAAGCCGCTGTCAAACGTAACAAGATGGATTTCTGAATATGTGCAAGCGAAGCCTTGTTAGATGTAAACTTCTGCAGAGGAAACTATCAGTAATAATGAATAAACTGTTGATTCAATTACTTTAGTGGCTTCACTGACTCTCTGAGGGTAACGTGCATGTCGATGGAGCCTGGACAGAGCAGCATTGTGTCTTAACGACTCCCTGTAGACCATATAGACCCTCCACATGTAGTGAGTGTGTGCTGCAGTTTCCTCTGTGGCTTCATGTGGTGTTTATAAATGTCTCCTGCGGCTCTTCCTGTTGGTTTTCAATCGCAAATGTTGCTGTAAGGTCTAGCCTCTCCCACCACTGAAAAGAACACACACATGCAAACACTGGATGTATAGGTTTGCATATGTGTGCCCCATGCAGAGACTCCCCAAAAGGCACAATAATGGAAACCCATGACATTTACACGCACACTTCTATGCCAGCTACCATCAACAAGATCCTCGACATGTTTAAAGTGGCCTAAATGAGGCGTGAGCCACTGCTGCTGGGTGATCACAGTGGATCCTTAGATGGAAGGTTGCACAGCCAAACACAGATCGGGCAAAGAAAATAAACCCCCATTACTGAGAGAAAACAATTTGTGACCGCTGTATGGAGTACTCTTTCTGAAATACATTTGTTTCAGTGTACAAAAGATGGAGGCAGGAGGACAAGAAACACAGAGCAGTGTGAATACACAAAGGTTTCATAAGCAGGGTATGAGTGAGTTAAGAGCTTAAGAAAAAAGAGGGGTAACTGGCAGCACTGTGCAGAAATGCACATATGTTGCTACTGTTATCATAATTTCACCAGCGGCAGCTTGTCTCTTTTGTTGGCTGAACCCCTTTGCTCTTCTCTTCTTGATCCCTTAACCAAGCAAACCTGCAGCAGCTCACTAGTGATTAGCCAGCTATCTGAGTTCCACAGTTCAAACACACATCATCTAGACAGCTACTTGCAGAGGACAAAGGCAGGAAAGAGCTGATTGATTTCATTTTAAAGAAACTAAAAGTTTTCATGCTACTTTTAGGATCTTTAGGGTCACAAGGGCATCCCTCTTTCCGCTGCGTTTGCTACCAGTGCACCCTTGCTGAGAGTGTGAGTGCTTCTCCATCATCCATGGCTGCTATAGATCTGGTGTCAAAGAAGTCAGATAGGCTAAAAGGTCAGCTGTTAGCCACTGGTGTTGGATTTCCAGAGTGGTAAACGTACTGTTATGTCTTCAACAGACCATTTCCCTTCCTTTTCGTCAATGTTAATAAAAATGCCCAATCCCAAGAGAACCTGGACTCAATCCTGAAAGTGCTATTCAAAATAAATGAACACCAATCCTATAATGCTGCATCCCATTTAGTGGGAAGAGTTCATATGTGTACCTTCAGGCTACAGTGGACAGTAAAAGGAAACTTTACTGCGAGCTACAAATGTCTAAGGGGTCAAAAGCTCTATGGTTGCTGCAACGGAAGATTCATTTTACTGCTGAGAGGAGAGGTGGGCCATTTCTGATTACTGTGACAAATTTTGACGCCAGGAAAATGTGAACCACCTTCCAAGACCAAGAAAATGCAAGTAAAAATCATGTAATTAATTTGTTTAGAAGGAGTAATCTCATCATGTGAAGGACAGAAGAGGACAGTCTAAAAAGGAGGCGCAGATAAAGCGTAGCAGGAAAATGCAGTAATTTTTCATACTTTGTGGATAAAACTCAACCCAGAACAAATGCCATGTAAATTTGTTTTTTTTTAAGCTTGTGCCTAAAGCCTGCCAGCAGCAGACACGCAGATTCCAGGGTGCATGTTCGACACAATGGGATTGCAAGTTAGAGCCGCACAGGATGCAACAGTTCAAGGGAACACAAATGACATCTGCTGTACTCGGAAACAGGGAATAATCCTCCCGCTCGGTATTCCGCACCACAATCCCCTTCGCCATTGTTTCTAGTCAGCGTGGTGAATGACTGAGAGAAGCAGAGAGACAAAGAGAACGGGAGAGCGAGGCAAAGAGAGAGAGTGTTTGCCCGTAGACCCCGGCTGCCTAGAACCTGCCTTTGTTTTCTTCAGAAGCAGCCCCGGCTCTCCTGGGAGAGTTTGACGGACAGCTCTCTGTATGCCAGTCTATTATGTGATTCCTATCACACAACAGAAGCCTCAGTGCTTTGCTCCTCATCTCTCTCTTATTCAGAGGGATGAAAATACATATTCCCCCATTGCATACAGACATGAGTTTGTCACTCCCCACACGTCTGGAGGAGAAATGAAAATCATCAAAATGAAATATACAAAAAGACGGACAATCAAACCAAATAGGGGGAAAGGGCACCAGGAATTTTATCATGGCCATAGACAAAAATGGCCGACGTGCTGTGTTCCTTAGCCAGATTAAGGGCAAGGACAGTTAATTGGAGAAGATCCATTGCCATTAAACGTTAAAGGGGAGGTATGGCAAACTCCATGAATAAATCAGCAGTGGTTATTACAGGGACAGGAGCCAATAGTATAATTAGAGCAGCTAAAACTATGCTCCCCAGCCATTATTCACCACGGGCCCTTGCATGTAAAGATCTGTGTACAGACAGGGGCTCCATTACACATAATTTATTCAGAGAGCCAGGGCTTTAAGCAGGGCGGTAAAAGGGTAATTATGTTAAAAATAGCCTCCAAGGTGGTCGGGGGAAGGCCACATCCAGGTATCCCAGTGGAAGTGAGGTGTTCCCGGGTCGGCCAGGCTCCTATGTCTCTGCCAGTTGTGGACCATTAGCTCGACAGAGGACGTCCTCCGTATAGTGAACATGTGTCACAAAGGAATTATCATTACCCGGACAGGTTAATATCTCAATCAAGCATGCTGGATTAATATCCTGTGATTGTGTGGTTTTATCAACCCACTAAAATTATATTTTTATACCTGTTTGTCTCTCTCCAAGTCAGCCTACTCACTCAACTGGCAAAGCTATTAATATGCAGAGGCCTGCAACTCAAATGCCAAGCCTGGCAACCCACTGGATCAGTAACTGACTTGGCTAGAATAGAAACTCACAATTATAGTGAGCATGAAGTGCAGATCTCTCATTTACTACAGATGGCCAATCAGGCTCCACTAGTCTCTTAATGTTTGTTTTTAACGCTTTTCCTGCCTCTTGTTTGAGACATACAAAAGTTGTTATATTTTTGTATTTATGCAATGTCACATACCGGATGGTATGATAAACTACTTTTTTGTTTTTCAAATATCCCTTAACACACAACAGGCAAGAGGCATGTTAGTTTCAAATTAGCACTCTCAGAAATCACTCAAAAACATCCCCTTGTGACCCAGTCATCAGCTCATTCTGTGTTAATTTAATGGAGTGAATCCACTCTAACATGCTCGAACCAGAGCTCAAAACAGCCTGACTATGATGGATCAATTGCAGCGAGCTGAAGAGGCCAACTGGCAATGAATGTCTCTCTATTGCAAATGCCACTCCATTGCCTCGTTCTCTCCAGCCCTCCACAACTCCTGGAGTAATGAGTGTTTTCTTCAATCATTTGCACTGCAGAACGAGCACAATGGCACAGGTTCCCACATTAGTTGCCAAGTTTCCATTCAACACCATGCAACTCCCTCTCAGCAATATGAAAACCCTCTTTTGATCATGCTGCAATTACCTCAAACAACTCTCTCCTCCATATGCATCCAAAGGTGCCAAGATCACACAGCCAATAATGGTTGGTTATGAGCTGGTTGTTGAGAAAGTGTGGGACTGATTTTCCAATCTCTATTATTGACCCATGGACCCAGCTGAACAATCATAATGCTCTATTGTAATAATGGTGACAGTGTATTGAGCTGGCCCAGCCATGGCTGCTTACCTCCATTGGTTCTTGTGCTGCAGTTAATCTCATCTGCTACTGTTAAAGAGCATAAACAAGCATGAGTGGTTAGTGCCTTCTGTACCATGCTTTTGAGCGCATGCAAAGCAGAAAGAGACAGAATCAGACTGTGCAGGGCAGATACTGAGCAGTTTTAGAATAGTAATGTAAGTAGAACAGATATTACACTCCATGCAAGGACCTGTCAATCATGAGGCTTACAAGGCAAAGTGGCTGGAATGTGCTAATGTATTACTACTAGCCGTGGCACCTCACTTCTCTTTCTTCCCTTTGCTTCTGTCACTCAATCTCGTTCCCCATCTAAATGGGACTGAACCGTGGGGTGTCTGACCAGTTTAGCATATTTCAACAATGATGGGCTTCAAAGTCATGAAATCCATCTTCTGATGTGATTCAGGAGCACCTGGAACACGATTAAAAGGAGGGACAAAAATACCTAGTGACAGAATAAAATGGGAGTCTGTAGGGGATAGCATTGTCAAGCATGTTAACCGTTTAGTCAGGGTGGCTTTGAAAGCACAGAGCAGCTTTATTAATGTGTTAATGGAAAGGAGAGAGGTATGCGTACAACTAACTTCTGAAGACAAACTTCAGTGTCCAACAGTGTGCCAATGACAAGGCTTAAGGATAAATGCTGGCACAATGTTCTTTGGCTCATTTAATTTCCAACTCTATTATACATTACCCATAGGCAATTTTTCATTGTGCGGCTTTGATGTAATAATTTCATTAAAATAATCAACATATTGTACTGCAGTGTGCGCCTTTGAGATAAATGGAACTTTCGTGACATTAGATACGTACCAAATCACACAATATGTAGCTTTCATTTTTAACAGGGACTCTAGAGCTTGCGTTCCATGTATTGACTGAAACATTTCTCCTCTGGGAACTCATGTCAGTTACTAGAGTTATTACATGAGAGGAACAAGTTAGTTATTTCCCTGCACCATCTGAACACTGTGATAGTCTCACTGATGGATTATGATTTTGTATTGGTGATTTCTGTCAGCAGGATCTTTCACAAACTCAATTGGGCCCTGCAAGTAGTGGGAGGGAATGTGATTTTGAATTACGTCTAATAACACGCACACTGATCTTGAGAACTAAGAAATAATAGAGCAATAATAGAAATTTGTAAAACATCCATTACACTGGTTAAACCAAGAATGAGGCATCGTCTTATGAGTAGAAGGACTAGTCTCTTTTCTAGAACCAAATGAACTAATCAAATTTACAAATAAATGCTGATGCCACTGTGGAACAATTAAGAAGCTTTTGTGATTAAATTGATTGATAAAATGTGCATTTGCAATGATGAGAACACCATCAAGGAGCTATCTCAGCATCCTGTCCATTCTATTCACTTCCTGTCCTCAGTTATATCCAATTATATTTTTATTCGACACCAAGAACATAATGGAAAAGGTTTTTATGCTCGACTAATTGCTCAGTGGAACCTATCCAATGGCTAACTATTATATTTCTCCTAAGCAGCGCTCTTTGCTGAAAGTTTGTGTCGTCCGGGTTCACTTTGTACAAAAGTTTTGAAGGTAGGGCTACTATAGGGAAGGTGGACCTCACAGAGCTGAGTGCACTGGCCCGGACCTACACTAGTCTGTGGGAGAGTCAAAGATTTCTACAGGTCTGTGGGCTCCATGCGGAATAGAGTTGGCTGTTATCTGTTATGATTAGCCAGTGATCCGAGAGAAGGCAGCGTCTGCTTCAGCCTCAGTGGGAGAGGCTCTGAACTCACACCATCTTCTTCCTGAGATACAGTGTGTGTGTTTGAGCGTCTGCTTGCACATGAGTGTGTATACGCATGCATGCCTCTCACCAGCCTTCCCATCACTAGACAGTCACTAAAGAGGCCATTGTGCTCTTGTTTCCTTCTTGTGTTTTACCCATGCTCCACTGGACACAGGGCCATGGGAGATGGAGGCCAAAAGAGCTGGTGGTGGCTGGACAGGACTGAAAAGACGACTTGTGTGTGTGTGTGAGTGTGTGTCAGAGGGGTATTTCTGTTTTGTCAAAGTGTCTCCATTTCCACAGTATTATGCCTTTACTGAGGCAGCCAGAAAAGGTGAGAGACATTAAGTGCTTGAGGAGTCACAGGTTACAGTGAGCTCTCATCCATCACCACTTTGGGGTGTCCAACAGGGAAAAGAACACAGATGGTCAGACAATCATACAAGTTTTACTGTAAACAAAACCCACAGGCTAGCCAGACATACTTCAATGCCAAAACTGTGATTCAAGGCAGCTGACCTATGCGCATGCACAGTTTTCCTGTGCAATGAAAGATTACTACAGACATTCCAGGTGCATTTAAGTTTGGTTTTCCCTCCAAATAAAGCGGTTTTATCAGGCTAAACTGTTTTCTCGTTTAACACCTGCAGGCTCATCAGACTGCTTGTGTTTTTTGCCCAGCTGGACTTTGTTCTAGTGATGTTGCCGTGTTCCCAGATTTGAGCAAATACTTGTACAAAGCTTACATAACCAATCAAAATGATAGCCAAAACTATGAAAATATTAAACTGTAGTAGAGTGGAAAGGAAAAGGTCGACATTTGGGGAAACAGGTGTATTTGCTTTCTTGAAGAGAGTTAGATGAGAAGATTGATATTCTGTACACTAAATATACCTCAGTAAAACAGCATTTGTGTTGTAAGTAAGGAAATAAAAAATATTTGCCAAAAATGTCGAACTTTTCCTTTAGTCACACGCTCCTGGCTCCGTGCTTGTGTAATGTGTGTTAAGCATAGCACAGCATTTACCTAGATCCATGCTCTTGGACTTGCGTGTCTTGACGATCTCCAGGTGAGCAGCGTTTTCATACTGTTTGGTGCGTTTCTCTGACATACTCTGGCGACCAAAGCCCTCCCTCTGGAACGAACCGTCAGCGTCTGCGTCTGGACTGAGTGAGCTACAGTTCATGAGGAAGCAGAGGAGGGAGAAACAGACACAGAAGTATTATAGTGTTGCCGCTAGACAGGGCAAATGTAGGGCCATTAGAAAAGCATACCCTTTAATCTAAAGATTATCCAATTAAAGATATGTTTTGTAATCATCTATATCATGTTGCGGTTATATTGCTAAGGGATGTCCTTATAACAAGACTGGGAGATAAAATCTACCTATTAATATTCATACAACCCCAAACCTCAGCCCAAAACACTCCTTTACTATCAGATAATGACCATCGGCATTCAATACACACACACACACACACACACACACACACACACACACACACACACACACACACACACACACACACAGTCAGTTTAAATCCTTCATTTCAATGACTATTCTAATCAAGGACACCTCCACCTCTGTTGGGTGGGATCAGGACAGGCTACAATTGGGAAATGAGGCCCAGCTAAGATGTGTGATACCCCAGTGAGGTGAGGGTGCTATGGGTCATGGCCACTCAATAACCACCCCCCCTCCTCCCATATGTCTGGAGCTGTGGCAGAGCACGGCCCACTATAGTGTGCTCCCTTTGAGATCCTCTATCTCTGTCTGGATCTTAATTGAAAATCGGAGGGGAGTGGGGAAAGGAGGTTGGGAGGGGGGTTTGGTATTTGCATGCAGAAGAGTGCATTTACAATTAAGGTGAGAACACCTTGCTATTTGAGGGGAGACAGGAGGGAGGAGATGCAGGGCTGATGGAGTCTAATAAATGTTACATGCATGAAAGGACACTGTCACCGTCTCTTTTGTTCTGTTGATGGTCACACATTATGACCACTAAAGAGTGTTTGTATTTTTACCACTAGGGGTCCATTAGGAGACTGAAATTTTACATTTTACGTCAGAAATTTCATGAAATGATCTGATCTCTCCTTTGGTTACAAAAAGAAAGCTTTTGTCCTGAACTGGACATCATGATTATATGTTTGAAAGTGGAGTAGTAGAGAGGAAACATGTTTTTCGTCAATGTATCCTCATGTAGCAGATGCTCCTTCAAGCAGCCTTCAATATTTGTAATATCACTTAACATCAACTGCAGACCTGCTGGCACTTGTTTGCACGTAAACAATTCTTATTTGGGTTGTCAACCCCATTCAACAAAAGAGCTGCTTCATGTGTCACTGAGGGGCTGGCGTCAACATGTCACTTTGCTGTCGACCACACCTGACAGTCCCAACTAAGATCAGACCGCCTCACGGGACTGACTCTAGCCGACACAGGAAGAGAGGGAGGTGGAGCAGGAAGAGAGGAATGACAGCACAGATGTATAATTCATTTATTCATCACCCCTCGCTATTCTCCTCTCATCATTCCAAGCCCACAAAAACCAGCCTGCCCTCTCTTTTTCTGTCTCCGCAAATGTCATCTGTCGGAGCGTGACTGAGACGGTGCCGGGGAGAAAGGATGTATTTTCAGCCTGAATTTAGATTTCCTTCACTCTTGCCAGTATTGTGTTTTTTTGGGGGAGGCAAATGAACAGACACAGAACATAGAAAAAGTGAGAGGCCAGCAGGTGGGTTCATGCACAGCCTTGTCACACAGGTTCAGAGAGCTGGTGAGCGTGTGGCCGTTATGTGTGATATCTGTGGGCAGTAAGAGTGAAGTTCAGGAGGACAGCCCAGCGGTGGTGCAAATTCACTCAGTAGGACATCAGATCTGTTGGTTTAAGCTGCTGCCCACTTTAACACTGCTTCTGCCTTCCTTTGGTTCATACAGAGCAATGACTAAATGCCCAGGTTGGGGATCCAGGTTAACCTGAAGAGAAATAGCCAATTGTGTTGTGTCTTTGAGCACCCCTCCAAGCCGGAGGTACCTGCTGTCAGGACTTGCACCTGAGCCTCTGCAGCAGTAACCATAACTATTTAAAGGGGTGGCAGTGACACTGTATACTACTGGTTCCCACCTTTTTTAACTTGTGTCCCATTATAGCCAAGCAATGCATACCTGTGCACCTTTGTCACTGGTTGCATATTATGTGTTGAATTTAATTAAATATTAAACTATTCAGATCTGTTAAATTCAGAAACAAATTTAAAAGCCTTGTGTTCCAATTTTGGCAGGAAATAAATGTGCTACTTATTGTGCCAAAGGCATGGAGAGGCTAGTATTAATCTTCTAGTCTACTTAAAGCTGGCACATAAAGATTCACAGCTACTACAGTCCATTACAGCACTCAATTACAGATCTCGTATTCACTTTCTACTGGCTATTAATTTTCCCATAGGGACGCTCGTTGTAATGAGATACTGCTTTGGAAGTCTCTTTTTTCTGATCCAGATACTTCTTAAGCTCAAACATAGTCTTATGGTGGAAAGAAAAGCCAATTGAAAAGACCTGAATGTTGAGTCTATGAAGGTGAGACCCATACTTGGACTTTGATGAAGACTGAATTGTTCACTTTACTCAATGAAAAACATATTGATAGATGGAAATAAGAAATAGCTTGACCATGTAACCACCTTAGATAATCTGCAGAATGACACAATTTCTTCCTTAGATCATCCATCCCGTCCATGCCTCTGGCGTCCATCAATAATACTGGGTCCAATCCATTTGGATAATATCTTCCCTCATCTCTCGTTCTTTATGCAGTGTTTAAAAGTAATTTCCACCAGTCCAAGCAGATGCTTTCCTCCCGTTCAAAGTCCTCCTGTCATCTAAAATTAACTAGCACTGAGGATTGCTCACAGGCAAATCCACAGCTTTAACTTGCATTTTACATCAACTTGTTCCTGTCTCCGTCTCGCTCACAGGAAGCTAAATGTGTCAAACTGCACATCAGCTTTGTTGCTAAGTGGTGTGTGCTAAAAGCCCTCTGTGCTCACAATTGGTGACTTGTGTAATTTTAAACTTCTTTTTCTCCTTTTCCCCCAACTCCCAAACCCTCTTACCCTCATTTAAAAAACGACCCCAAAGAGGTAAGTCTCAAAGTCTTCTTGGAAAAGTGCAGCATGGTTTGATCGATTAGCGGGGGGTTCCGTGCATTAGTTTCAACGCCTCAGAGAGGGGGCAAGAGGCGGAGAGAAATGCCCAGTAAGGTGCTTCAGAAATGGCCCTTCTGAGGTTTGAAGGAGGCAGATTCAGCTGACCGCATGGGCGCATAGCTGGGCCAAGGAACTTGGAGCTGTCTTCAATCAAACAAAAAACTCTGCATGGTCTGTGCTGCAGGCATGTGCACCAGCGGACACTAGATAGTTGGATACGTTTCTACATTTCAGAGTAAAAAAGGTGTACAAGGAGGTCTTCTCTTCCATCATTGTAACAATTTTCTTAAACATGAATTTGCTGTAAAAATATGTCTCAGATCACCACTTTTATTTCACTCGTTTAATTGCACCTATAAAACATTTGACTTAAACCTGAGTATAAAGACTAAAATGAAACGGTTCATTGAGTGCCACACAGAGGAGCAGCTGCACCTGTGATTTGCTGTAATCTCCTTTTAATTGTGATGAAGTTGCAGAGAGAGACAGAGAGGGAGAGAACAAGATCAATTAAGACCTCTTTGTCCGTCGGCTGACTCCTGCGTAGACCTCCTCATTCATTCCCTGCCTGCTGTATGGATGCTTTAATTGAGTTCTGTTGCACCGACTTCTCCAACCTGCTGAATAGGAGAGCGACTGACAAGAACCAGGCAGAGATGATATTTTGGTTTGTGTGGCAACAGTGTGTGTGCAGGTTACTTTGGCATCAGTCATGCTGAGATTCACCTGCACCCCTGTCACAATGAGGCAGTGTAGGGCACACAGTCTCACACATAGTGCACAACACAGGAAGCCATAGATAAACAGACTCAAGGTGAGCACAGAAATGAAAGCATGTATGACATGCTTGTAGCAATGGCGCGCCACTGAGACATGGTAAATATTCATAAAGCCAGGGGAGGCTATTAGCATTTAAGGAAAAAATGCCTGCAATTAATGTGTGTGTATGTGTGTGTGTACTACCTGGTGTTAAAGTCACAGCCAACCTGAATGGACATTTGAGATGAGTCAAACAGTGTATATGCACACGTACTACAGGGCTGTTTGCATTTATATGTAGTTATGCTGATAGCCTGATGGGAAAAACACATGTGCTTAATAGAGCACTTGTGATTCTTAGTTACATTACTGATGATAGAGACTATTAGGGAGTCAACGGAAGTAGGCAGTCTGCCTGCAATGTTAGCTTGGAAGTTTGTTTGTTCGTGTCTGTGCGGACCTTTTCCACTTTATATGTTAATTTGTGAAATTGTTTACCAGCCAATGTGTATCTAAACACTCGTGAGACTGAGCGCGTCAGTGCAGCAGTGTGTGTGTGTATTTGTCTGGACTCCTTTTCCATCTCTGCTGGTTGACAGACTGTGTCAGAGCTGCCTGGGAAATGATGTTTCCACCTGTGACATCTCACAAAGACAGAGAAGGACACAGTCTAGTTCTCTCTCTCTTTCCTTCTCTGTCTCTCTCGCTGTCCATTTCTCTTCCCTCTCACCTTAATGAGAATTGACACCTATCCTCCACTCTGTCAGCTGTACCTGGATTGAGGTCCAAGCCATAGGGAGAGTAGTAACTAGTTATATCAGGGCTGTGACAGTGCCCCTAGTGGTACTAGTGTGGGGGGATTCATCACACTTCCTGTAGCCAGAGAGAGCCAGAGCCAGAGATTAGATATAAATTCTGAATAGGTTTTACTGTTTAGGGACTATGAAAACATTTATATTAACCTAACATGCAATGTTTCTTTGATCCATTAGGGTTAAAGGTTCTGACAATTTCTTAAAAAAACAGATTTTTAAACATTTGTGGTCGAAGGGTCTTTGATATTGAGAAAAGAGTGTGATAGGTTTGGAAAAGCAGGCATGCACGGTTATTTTTAACTACTTAGTCTAACTACTACATTTTCAATGCCAAAAAAACAAAGAAAAGAAAAGATTAGTATTCACTGTTAACCCTATAATTCAATCACTGG